TGCTACACTGGCTAGCACTACGGAAGAAAGAGACTTGGGGGTCATCATTGACCACAAGATGAACATGAGCCTTCAATGTGATGCTGCGACTAGTAAAGTGAGGAACACGCTAGCTTGCATCCATAGATGCTTCTCAAGTAAATCCCAGTCATTCTCCCTTTGTACTCAGCCTTGGTGAGGCTGCAGCTGGAGTACTGCATCCCGTTTTCGGCCCCACAATTCAAAAAGGATGTGAAGAAGCTTGAGAGAGTCCAGAGAAGAGCCACGTGCATGATCAGAGGTCAGGAAAACAGACCTTACGACGACAGGCTGAGAGCTATGGGGCTCTTTAGCCTGGAAAAGCGCAGGCTTAGAGGTGATCTGATGGCCACCTACAAGTTTATCAGGGGTGTTCACCACGATCTGGGGGAATGTTTGTTCACCAGAGCGTCCCAAGGAATGATGAGGTCAAATGGTTATAAACTACTGCAAGACCGTTTCAGGCTGGACATAAGGAATAATTTCTTTACCATCCGAGCTCCCAAGGTCTGGAATAGCCTGCCATTGGAAGTGGTTCAAGCACCTACATTGAACACCTTCAAGAGAAATTTGCATGTTTATCTTTCTGGGATCCTACGACCCCAGCTGACTTCCTGCCCGTCGAGCAGGGGGCTGGATTCGATGATCTTCCGAGGTCCCTTCCAGCCCTAATGTCTATGAAATCAGGGAAATCTATGAAATAGGTGAGAGACAAGTGGGATGGGGGGGAAGGGTTTGAAAGAATGTAGCTGGATGAGAGACTGGGTGGGGGGGAAGGAGAGAGGGAATATGAAAAAAAACTGGAGAGGCTACCTCGGGAGTCAGATGTTAGGCAGGTTATATGTCATAATTCAGTGTTTATATTTGGTCCATGATTTTCCATAAAAAATGCAACAAGCATCACCCTTCCATCAGACTATCTCTGGAATACTTCAACACCAACATGCTTTTTTAGACATATCCAGAATGGTAAAATACAGACCACCGTATACAAGAAACCCATGGACCAACGTACATATCTGAACAGAACCAGTAATCATCCTAAATGCAGCAAGAAACCTGTAATATACAGCCAAGCCCTCTGATACCACCAAATTTGCACTGAGGAGAACACCCATGATCATCACCTCACAAATCTCAAAAGGGCCTTTACTCAACAAGTACACTCCTCCAGAGAAATAGATCACACTTTTGAAAGAGCCACCTGGATACCATGTGAAGAATTGCTGCAGTACAGAATCCCTCCCCCCAACATGAATCACACACCACTGGTTATGACATATCATCACTCCCTGGAACCTATACGGAAAATCCACAAACAATTGCAACCCATTCTAGGAAGAGACCCAATTCTTAAAGAGATCTTTCCAGAACCACCCATGCTAGGCTTTAAGCAAGCACAAACCCTTGCCAACCTCATCACCAGAAACAAACTTCCTATGGCCCAAAACACCAAATGGATCTAGACCATGCCAGGACAAGAAATGTAAAACCTGCCAACACATCTCCACCACCCCCACAATTACAACACCCCAAAACAGAACCACCAACATTCCTGGATCTTACACCTGCACCTCCAGAAAATATGTAGGAGAAACCAAACAACACCCATGTACCAGAATAAATGCACACCGAAAATCCATTAAAGACAAGAATACCCTATCTATCAAGGACAATGACCTGTGGAGGCACATTTCTCACAAGAAAACCACACTTTCTCCAATCTCTCAGTTCTAATTCTTCAAGGAAACTTACAAAACACCTTTCACAGGTGAGCCTACAAACTTCATCAACCTACTGGATACAAAAAATCATGGACTAAATATAGACATTGGATTTATGACACATTATAACCTGCCTATCATTTGACTCTCCAGGTATCTCTCCACTGTTTACCAGCTATATTCTTTCCCTTACCTCCTGCCCACGTCCATTGACTACAGATTCATCCTTTCCCCTCCCCACGCCCACCTCTCTCTCACTTATTGACTACCTCAATTTACATTTTAACTGTCTTTCTTGCATATATACTGGCCTCTGGCTGCTTTACTAATGCATCCAGGAACAGCACAGACCAATTGCAGATGCTTCCTCTGCCTGACAAAGGGTATTTGTACCTGAAGGCTTGCAAAGAAGAATTTTTCCAACCATTCAAGTTGGTTTAATAAAAGAAGTCGGATTTACCCAAATAACCTTGTCTTACAGTGATGTCACACTTTCAACTTAACACAAGAGTGTTGTTAGATGTTACCTTTCCTGCTCACTAAATGCTCTTAAGATGGCTCCTATGTGTTAAGAAAGGAAAAGATGAAGTAACTGGTATGGCTGTGTGAAGCTTTAGTCACTGATTCAATTCAGCGGAGATTTGGCCCAATTTGGCAGCTAAATCTCCAAATCCAAATCAAATCAGGAGACCCTTTAATCTCTCTAAATCAAATCAGAACCCTCTGAATCGATTTGGAGATATTCAACAATTCCGACATAGACACAGCTTTAAATGTTTTTTTTACATACCTCAAGGTACCAGGCAGTTTGTGAATGTTGAGATGCTGGGGTGGATGGAGCATCCCATGGGAGCGGGGGGGGGGGGGGATCCCCCGCATGCTCAGCAGGGGACCCGTAAGTGGGCCAGAAGCATTTCTGGTCCACTTCCAGGTCCGCTGGGGAGCACAAGGGGGACCCCTCCCCCCTTCCCCAGCTCGGTGACTGGTGCCTCCTGAGTCTGGGGGGGGTCCCCCAGGGGTGGATCTCCCCGTAGGTTCCCCTGTGGCCAATCACTCAGGCAGGGAGGGTGCAGGGCAGGGGTCCCCCACATGCTCAGCAGCGGACCCAGAAGTGGACTGGAAATATTTCCGGTCCTAGTGTCCTTCAACAGGTAAGATTGGTTTCATCAGAGGCTTGCTGAAGATGATAGAAAGGACTTATTGCTGTGCTCCTGAAAATGAAAGTGTAAGCTGCCCATTCCCTATGTATGTTCAGCAGTGCTATGATGGGCTGCTCTTATTTGAAGTTGGAAATGTTAGAGGCTGCAGTAGGGCCTTTGCCTACAGTTAGCAGGTGTGGTCATGAATATATGACTTGCCATAAGTTACTTCCTTTTTTGTAGAGAAAGCGAGAGAAATGTTCTTTACATATCTAGAGAAAAAGCGGATGTGGTTATGCTTCTTCACTAGAGAAGGAAACTACAACAGGAGTCATTGGCTTAGTGAAGTTAATATGACATTCTTGTTTTTAAACTATTTCAGGAAGTCAACACAATTGACCTGGAGTTACACAAGGGATGAATTTGGCTTTGTAGTTTTAAGCTGTATACGACTACTACTAGATTGTAGTGCGTGGGACAGTAACATGATTTTATGCATAGGTGGCAGTGGCTACAGTGCCAGTAGTTAAGGTTGCAGTGCTTTCATTCCACTCAGTGCTTTCATTGTTTTCAGTTGCTTACAACTTTTGCTAAAGTTTAACTAGTAGGGCTGACTTTTGAGGAGCAGGTCAACCAAGATATTTTATCTGTTTTTATCTGAAGTCCCATTTACCCATGTTGAAAAATGTGAATAACTGTTTCCGTAGGTAGCAGTAGCATACTTTGGAACTGATGTGAGGCCTGGTTGTGTGCAGGAGGGGGTGCATCTTACTGTCAGGCCTGTGGCTTTCTGTCACATGTTTCTATATATAGCTCAACTAGAATGTGTCCCATCTTAACAGTTCTGCTTAGATCTGAATCACTTTGTATGTGTTTGCTTTCCAAGCAGGATTTATCTGGCTACTGCAGCCCAGGGGGTTATGCATGTGTTCAAGCAGGTGGCTTTCCCTAACAGCTCTGCAAACAGAGTTTGCAAACAGAGTTTGCAGAGTATGCAAAGTCCAAGTTTACTCCTTTCCTGGAGCCTGACCATAGTAAAAGCAAGATCAGCCCAGACCTGGCTGCTTCTATGGTTCCTTCAGACCCAGCATTCCTTTCCTGCCAAAGAGTCACTCTCCCCTTAAAAAGCCATCTGCCTTGGGGTGTCACCAGAGCCCATTTTAACTTTTTCTCAACAGGAATAAGCACCTGCTAACAGGGCTGTGTCAAGGAAATACTGTGATTATGGCTTTGGCATTCCAGAGAAGCTGCATTTTCTCCCATGACTGAAATGGAACATGGGAGCACTGTGAGGATTTGCAGAAAATATATGCAGTACTATCAAGCACTCTGGCCACTTAACACACTCTCTAAAAATAAATAACATATCTTGTATTGGTTTCTCATAGATTTCATAGACATTAGGGCTGGAAGGGACAAAACAAAGCTCACTCTTAACCAGTCATTGCACAAACATTTTGCTTTGGAAGATAGTATAAAAAAGAAACTATAAAATTAACTTGATCCAGCGCATGCCAGGCTAAAAAGCTCGAACTAACGAATTGTGTAGGGCCAGATTCTGCAGAAGTGCTAATGGGGGGTGGGGGGGAATGCTTTGGATGATCTTGGTTTTGGATTGCTCCTTTAGTGAGCATGCAGTCCTCCATGTTCCAGTCACAGTGCTGCCAGTCCTCACCGGGATACTTGTTTTTAAAGCTCCAGCTCCAGGAATCAAGGAATTATGGAAGAATTTTAGCTTTCATTTTTTTAAAATAGTATTTTCAAGCCCAAATGAGAGCAATTAGAGCTTTAAAACATAACCTGAATGCACACCCCAAGTTAACTATTTTGTGGTGTGTAAACCAAGGATCCAGGAACTGGCTTATGATTTTTTGGTAAGTGATACTGCACTTATCATTTGGAACATGTTAGTTCCTAACACAAACCATTCTTGCAGAGTTTTGCACAACTACAATTAACTAAAGGGTGAGTGCTTTGGCTCAGGTAACACTTCTGCTTCCCCAAAGCTTATCTGAACTTTTTTGAGGCCTTCTCCCAATCCTGCCTTTTCTATATATTGAAAAATAGAATGCCAATTTAAAAAAGAATAGAAGATCATTTTCTAAATTAGTTAGTTCATCTGCATTATCAGTCACTGGAGCCCAGATCTGCTGTCACTCAAATCACTTGGAGTTTGTCCATTCACCTCACTGTAAGCAGAATTGGGACTGCTTTGACAGCATGTAGTCATTTTCCTGAAGTTGCAGTCAGACTCTAGTATTGCCTCCAAACAAAAGGTACTTTTACACGTGCTCTGGGGGTGGGGGGTGGTGGTACTTTAATTTGAGTGTCTCTGACAGCCGTTCAAATTAAAGCACCACAGTGTCTCACGTATCAGCATCCCCACAAATAAAAATGGCAGTGCGGGCACTTGAACTAAGTTCGTTCGACAAGCTTTAGTTCAAGAACCACCACTGCCATTTTTAAGCATGGGAACACTGATACATGAGTTGTGGGAGGCTGCTGGAGCACTGTAATTAACACACTCCAGCAGACTCGATTAATCAAGTCTGCTCCCATGTGCTGGAATTACAGCGTGTTGGAGCAGCCTCCATGCTTGTGTACGGGCACCCATAGATTCAAGCAATCTGCTTCAAACTCGCTGTGCCCTGGAATCTTATTTTGTTGCCAGCTACAGCAGCATAAATAAATAAATAAATCAGATTTTGTTTACGGATAAAACTAAGGAAGGGCAGGTTGGGTGGAATGTAAGGTGGATAGAAAACTGCCTGGATTGTTGGGCTTAAAGGGTAGCAGTCAATAGCTTAATGTATAGTTGGCAACTGGTATCAAGTGAAGTGCCCCAGGGGTTGGTCCTGGAGCCAGTTTTGTTCAATATCTTCATCAATGACCTAGAAGATAGGATAGAGTGCACCCGCAACAAGTTTGCAGATGACACCAACCTGTGAGGAATAGCAGATACGCTGGAAGGAAGGGTTAGGATTCAGAGAGACCTCAACAAATTGGAGGACTGGGTCAAAAGAAATCTCATGAGGTTCAACAAGGACAAGTACGAAGTCCTGCACTTAGGACAGAACAATCCCATACACCAGTATAGGCTGGAGGCTGACTGGCTAAGCAGCAGCTCTGCAGAAAAGGACCTGGGGGGTACCGGGGACAATAAGCTGAATATGAGCCGGCAGTGTGCCCTTGTTGCCAAGAGGGCTAAAGGCATACTGGGATGCATTAGTAGGAGTGTTACCAGCAGATCAAGGGAAGTGATTATTCCCCTCTATTTGGCACTGGTGAGGCCACATCTGGAGTACTGTGTCAAGTTTTGGGCCCCCCACTTTAGAAAGGATGTAGACAAATTGGAGAAAGTCCAGCAAAGGGCAACAAAATGGTGAAGGGCTGGGGGACATGACTTCTGAGAAGAGGCTGAGGGAACTGAACTTATTTAGGGAACTGGAGAAGAGAAAGTTGAGAGGGAATTTAATAGCAGCCTTCAGCTACCTGAAGAATAGTTCCAGAATGGAGCTAGACTGTTGTCAGTGGTGGCAGATGACAGAACAAGGAGCAACGGTCTCAAGTTGCAGCAAGGGAAGTTTAAGTTAGATATTAGGAAAAGCTCTCTCTCTAGGAGGGTAGTAAAGTGCTGGAACAGGTTACCCAGAGAGGTGGTGGAAGCTCCATTCTTGGAGGTTTTTAAGACCTGACTAGACAAAGCCTTGGCTGGGATGATATAGGTGGGTATGGTCCTGCTTTGAGCAGGAGGTTGAACTAGATGACCTCCTGAAATCCCTTCCAGCTCTAGTTTTCTGTGATTCTATGAAATGTTGCCAATATGCAAAATGGATGCAGCTTGGAATTGACCCCTTTTGCTGCCCTTTAGATCTCCTATGAGGATGTGGATCGCCTGAAGGAATTAGCTGTGGTTGAGAACACAAGGGTACCACACTTCATGCAGGACCATGCCCGATACATGGAACACTTGGAAAAGATCATGGAAGTCAATGAGCTGACTGACAAGGAGCTCCAGGATCTGATATGTTAAGCGTTCATCTCCTTCACTTGTGTGCAGCTGATTATACAGAACCAGACTTCATCAGAGCTCACAAAAATAGGATTTCATTTAACTTGTTTGTTTGTTTGTTTGTTTGTTTTTAGCCAGATTAAAATATTTATTTCTGCAAATTGTATTTCCAAAAGAAAAATGCAAACCTTGAGCTACCCATTTAAGATCTTTCTTTTATAGAAATAAGATTATTTGAGGTTTCTTTCCAACGCTCATACTCTGATGCACTCAGACTATTGATTTAGGTTAGGGATTCTCTTGTGACCATTCTGTATCATTGTCCTTCAGGTGTTCTGCACACAAATGAGTGAGTTTGAAATTTCTTCTTTTTTATGATTACCGCTTTTGGATTCCTTTTTAGAGCCAGTCTTTGGGAATTTTTTACCCCTTAGTTCATTCACTATAGCTTAATCTCTGGTCACAATCTTTACCATACTGATGTGTAGCAACAAAAGCATAGAACTGCTGTACACTGCTATATCACTCTTTTCCTAAGTCTTTCCTGTTTCATCCTGTTTGCCGCCCTGTAAAATCCCTAATATGCATCTACTCCTTCCTATAACAATGTTGAGACTTTTTTCTTCTATGGAGTTAATTTGTACTACCATACTTCATAGCTAGTGTTTCAGAAAGCTATAGTAGATGTTGCTATTTTAATGGCTGTAAACAGGTTAACAAGTTGTCCACAACCTCAAAAGGGTATAACTGTCCTTTGTTATACTGGACACATATACATGTGCACTAATGTGCCATAATTACAGTGCATTAAATTTCGTACCTGTAATAACAGGTAGTAAATGCACCGTTATCGATACTACTGCACAGTAATGCCAGCACATCTTTTACGGGACGCTAATGCTCAGTAGGCTAATTCTACTGCACATTAATTAGCCTGGCTTTCTCTGTGACACACTAATGTGCAGTACAGTTAGTCTACTGTACTTCTAGCGTCTCATGTAGATGTGCCCACTGTGTCCAAATTCCAGGAAAGGGTCTTTTTTGTTTGAGAAAAAGTTTTCACATTATTTTTTTTGGAAGGAAGACACAATTAAACTGAGATTCTTTGACTAATGTTTATAACAAATCTACGTACTGGGCTATAACTTGTTTCAGCCATCAAAAACACTCCTCTGCTATATCACCTGAACCATTTAGAGTGGTTTAGGCTGCCAGGCGCTCTGCCCACACAGGCAGGCTTGTGATAGTTTTCCCTTACTAAAGTCCCAAGTGCCCTGTTCCTGTGGTTAAAGTAACCAAAGTGGTCTAGCACATCTGAAACATCCTTACCTCGAGTTTAAATTCCGGTGCTATACAAAATAAGCAGAGAAAGCACATTGCTTTATGTCTCTTTATAAAGGAATAACAAGCTTAGGTAAACCAAGAGGGTTTTTCTCTACAGGATCCACATTTTCTGGATGCAGAATATGATGAAAGTGCAGATTTCAGTTCCATAATTAAGGGATACTTGAGTTTTGCACGTCATGTATGCAAGGGTTTACTTTTCATTTTACCAGGGCTAGACTGAATCTTTAGTGTCCAGTATACTCTGCCCCTGGAGCAGTCCCAGGATGAAACAGTATCACAACTTTTCCCCTTGCTCTTGTGGACCGGCACATTCAATCTACTGCTGCCTGTTTCATCTCTACTGATCAGTATATTGGGAGGAGGGGATGGAGCCATGGTTACAACTACATTCTGTTCACCCACAAATGGGCCTGATCTTCCGCTTGTCCTGTGCTGTGACAGCTTTTATGGACACATGAGGAGGAGGAGGTGGTCATGGTCATTTGTGGGAGGCAAGGGGAGCACGTACCTTGCGGACAGTCCAGCCCTTTACTGATAATTCTGTAGAAGCTAGTGGTCTATGATCAAAAAATGGAATAACCCTCTCCTACTCCCTCCCCACCAATTTATACATGGTAGGAAGTAGCCATTCCAGTTTTAAAGCCCTAAGGAAGCCTTTTGCCACATGTATTAAACATGTTTGTGGGGCGGGGGGTGAAAATCACGTGGCCAAAAGGATTTGAAGGTTACAGTTCATCCATGTCACTTGTGTGCTGTGGTAACTGCCTTCTTGAGATTCACTACAGTTGTTCCAGGAATACAACTCCAGTGATTTTACTGAGTGGGGTATTTTACATAATGAGAACTAACACCACTTCCCAGTAGCCTTAATTTTGTATTGTTTGAAGTTTAAAATTTGTTTACTCCCATGAGCTAGTGGATAGCTCAACTCCTTCCCTTTCCTTTCTGCCCCCAAAGCATCACTATTCCCCTTGTCACATCATTTTGTTTCAGAGTTGTAAAGGTGAACTGAACTGACATGACGGTCTCACTCTAGCTGAAATACCTTCATTTTAGTATTCAGTAACATGCCCTGACACTGAACAAACCACCTCAGCTACTCTGCCCTGCTCAGCAGAAGTTCAGATATTGCATTACGCATATTAGTGATGGAAGTTGAAGATTTTGGGCAAAATTTGTCTTTGAGGTAATTGAATTGAAGTCTGTGGGGGTCACACCAGGGAAGAATTTGGCCCTCTACACTGAGGCATGTGTGCCATTCAGTATCAAAAGGCCATTATTTAGAGGTGAAATTTTTCTCAACCGAAATAACCTCGGCACTTCAGTAGTTGCTTCTATAGTAAATACAAACACATACTCAAGACCTCACCCCCAAGAGTGATTGCTGTGAAACCACTAAATCTACCTGTCCATATTAATCTGGTACAGAATAGGATGGTTAAAGCCCCTTCTCAGCTGCCGTTTGACTACATCACTGCACTCTGGGTTAGCTATTGGAAGTGTAAGGGACTATTTTTTCTTTGCTAAAAGACCAGAATTTTATTGTTCCCTAAAGTAGTTGGTGCCATTTTACTTTTACTATTCATGATGATGATGTGAATAGGTGTGTTCCAGTACAAGGTTAGATTCTGGAAGTGTTGGCACAATAGTACCGTAGTAGTAGGCACAAATGTCAACCTCTGTTTTTCAGCATTAAATTTATCCTTCTAACTTCGTAAAAGTATTCTGATTTGTAATAGTAGTTTTGTAAACTTTTTGAAATTTTTATTGTGAAGAGGCATGTTCCTGAAGTTCTGTAATAAAGTATGTGGATGATACTGCATGCAAACTCTGATCACTGAAGAGGGTCGTGGTGTCTGTAACACAGTAAGAAGTTTGTCTGTTACTATTAGAGGGATCTTTTAAAGTAGAAAAATGAACACTGTCACCATCCAAAACTTCCAAATGGCCACCTCTCTTTCTCTGTATTTTTATGTGTGTTCCTCTCTCCCTCGCACACATATACATCTACATACATTCACATCCCTGTTCAATATGAGAAAATTGCGTCTATTTAAACTGATTTTAAAGTTTTTAGATGCAATATTGGTACAACTGTAAATATACAACTTAGGATAAGAATATTTAGTTCTTAATCGCAGTCTCAGCTCTAGAACTAGACAGAATTCTTTTTCAAGAGCTGGAAAATGTTGCTGCATGTGGGAAAAAGTATTTTTCAGCAACCCTTTCCACAAATAATTCTGATGTTTTTGCATGTATTGAAAACCAAAATTTACTGGCCAAACACTCAATTGGGAAAAGCTGCCAGTGTCCGATGGAACTTATTTTGGGTGCCTCATGCCTCTCTTCTACTCCCTGGCCAGGCTCCAAGGCCAGACTGCATCTCCCATAACGTGTTGTGGTTTCCTTCTTGGGGAGGTACTGTGATGCATCAAGGGACATTTGTCCCACAGCTCTGGGACATTTTGGGAGGAGTCCAGGGGCATAAACCTCAGGATTCTTCTACAGCAGTGGTTCTCAAATTATTTGGGGTCACACCCCCAAGTGTATTTTTAAGTTTGTCATACTGTTGGACACTCCTATTATTGTATGTTATAGATAAAAAGAATATATTAATGTTTCATGACACTACATTGATTTTCAGTAACTAAAGTAGTAGTGTAGAGTGGTCTTCATTTTTTCTCTTTCCCCTCCATTTATGTTTTCCTTTTCCTTTCTTCTTTCCCAATCATTCCTCTCGCATACCCTATAGAAATTTGCCACAGACCCCAATGGGTGCATATAGGTCAGCATGAGAAACATTGTTCAGCATTATCGTCACAATGGAGTTTTTCGTTTCTTGAGTGCTGGTGTTACAATCTGAAGTTCCATTTTGGGACTGGCACTCTCACCCAAGGAAATCACTCCCTTTATTTTTTATATATCCCATCGCTGGCTTGTACCTCAGTTTCTTCACCTGAGGATCCTAGTCCCCAGAGTAAAATAGATATGCAAAGATAAAGCACACCTCTTGACTGCAGCATCAATATTTCAAGCAACAGCAACAAAAATGTCCCTAGAAAGTAGATACATTTTTCATCAAAAGTATTTACTTGCCAACCTAGTTTTTTCCTAACCCCCCCCCCCCCCCCAAAAAGG